AAATGATAATACCATGAAACGCACCCCAGGTGGCGAGCAGTGAACCCTATAACATACTGGAAAACTCGCCACTATAAAGGCTGACAAAGCCGTGAAAGCAGCAAGCCAACAAAGAATACCTAGCAGGGGATCGCTCTTTGTTTTTCTAACGTACTACGTTCTATTGACCTGATACATATAATACAGGCAAGACTGAGAAAACAATATTCTCGTTGACTGTCTCTCTCGGCTCACTCTTGTTGAGCAAGATTCCTTCCCTTTGTGTGAGCTTTTCAGTATGCAATAGAGCTGTTGATGATCGAAACGAGTAATCTTATACCCGTATCACACCAGCGATTGGAAATTGCGTCTGCGTTTGCGTCAATTGATCAATAAAAAAAAGCTGCTGCAGACCAGCAGTTCCTTTTTGATTGATCAAGAGATGCAAATGCAAACGCAATTTCCAATCGTTAGTGTAATATAGGCATTACGTCCATCAAAAGAGAGTGCGTGAAAGCTATCGATACAGTCAATAATACACGAAGAGTGATACACAATAAATATTACATAATTTCTTTCAAAGAAAATGATGTAATCTTATTGTGTATTAAACTACATGAATTCAAATTCGTTGTGCATGAATAGAAGTAACGGCGCTGACCTTTCTACAGCTTTTTTCCATGCAATGTATTCATTTCCCTTACCACATACATGTCTTTCGATATATAAAGTAAGTATCGCGTAATATCTTTTAATCTACTCTGTTACATCCTCGCCCTTATATAAGATCGATAAATCTTTATATAATTTCCTTTTAATCTTTAAATAGGGGAAATAAAGATTAGGGCTGTTACTTTTGAACTTCAAAGAATCAAAGTTTGGAAATAATTCGAATTTTCGAAATTGTCAAAAAAAGCAGCTTTAAAAATATATAAAAGTTGGTAAAAGGAATGCTCGGAATGCTTCCAAAAAATTTTTAATTCTATAATTATATTTTTTATTAGTATATTATGGTTAAAACTTTAGAGAGAGTTGCATATTGGAAATATTACGTACTGAAAAAATAGCATTGTATCATTATTTAAAAATAACCTCGTTGATTTGTTTCAATAACATTATTAATGAAACAAATAAAATTTTATTAAAAAGGAACATGATATATTTATTTTATTAAGTGTAACTAAATTGATAAAATTATTTTCAATTAAAATACTGCTGTTGATTTGATATAACGTCATTTTTTTCCAGTATTGAAATGTAAAAATAATGAACTTTAAAAAGAATGATATCTGAATGATATCTTTTATTTTCCTTAGACAAGTTTTTCAAGAAAACTAAGAGCGAGAGCACAGAATCTTGCATAACGCATAATGCACAAGAAAATGAATCAATGAAGTTCTTCATTTCCTTGCTTTCCATGAAATAAAAGACTGATTGATTTTCTCCTTGATGCGTTATACAAAGATTTATGCTCCGGCTTAAGATGCTATCCATTAAGGACTGCATTCAGAAACTTTACTTTGGTACACCCAGATATCATTTGGTCCTGTTGTTCATCGAATATTAAACAAGAATAAAATGATATCTGGGTGCATCCGGGTGAAATTTCTGAACGCAGTCAAAATTAACACGAAATAAGAAATAAGCCGCTTGCAGCAGAATTTAAAGTATCTTCGATACTTTAAATTCTTGCGAGAGAATCGAATCCATGGAGCGGCGAGTCGAGACGGTCTCGTGAGATGATTTAGCCGGCAGGTGCGCGGATTCCTCGGGGCACTGTCGAGGTCTACCCCACCCCTCCCACCCCTTCCCACCCGTTCCTGTAAATGAAATGCGCGTATCTGACGAAATCGCAAGTTCGGAATTAGTGAAGTGTTGCGTTCGTCGCCGCCGTCGCCATCGCCGTGTGTCGAAACGACACTCGCGATATTACCAGCCGACCCACACAACGGCCGCACACACACACACACACACACATACATACACACACACATACACATACGCTACAGAGATACCAGATATCCTTCGGTAAGGTCAAAATGGCGGAGAATTCCACGATCGTCGCGCTCGTGCACGAGGGGCGATATTGCGGACACCGTTTGCATTAATAGCGCGCAACCGAACGTGACGCAAGCTCGCGAAATATGTAAATTGCCTAACAGCTTCGCCGCGCTCTCGTTTACATTGTAAAAATGACCGCGCGTTGATGTCGGGCCGGACGACCCCGACATCAACGACGCGAAATTCCCCTCCCCTCTCATTCTATCGGAGCAACCTCGATTTCATCTCGCGGATTGTCGATTGAGAGAAATCATTGTTATTCCTCTCTCCCTCCTTCCCCCTCTTCCCTCCCCCCCTCCCGAGAGAAGTACAATTTCCGGCGTCAAATGGCGAATTCGATTGGACGCACTAATGCGCACTCAATATTTACACTAGTCATTCTTATAAGGTACTTGGAGAAATGTAAAAATAATTAACATTAAAACTGGGTATCTGATGCATATTAAAATCGTTATACCCTGATTTAATCTGAGTGTAAAAATGAAATACAAATATTTGGAATACACGTTTTATGTAACAACACAATAAAGTGTGTGGTGAGAAAGACGGACTTCACGGTTTAACCCGGTTTTTATTTACATTAAACACACATTTTTACGTCAACTTGCATACGTCCTTAATGTGCATCAGTATTACGACCGACTGCTGTATTGTATATACCACTAGACTCTTTAATTCTTAGTACTGTGATCTTTGTGCGTCGGAAATTCATCAGGAGAGGAAGAGAGAGACTGCTAACTCATATACAAGCATCTCCGCACACGTAAATATTGGACACATAAAAATTGGAAGTTACTCTTTCAAAAGTTAGGAATCTAGTAGTTAGTATACTAGTAGTGTTTGCACCAACTGAGTTGGAAAATACTTTGCTATTGCTTGACGTTACACGCTCTATCATATAATAGGAGAGCACGACAACGTCATTAATTCAACCCAAGTAGTGCAAACCCGATCGGGCCGAAAACGCTATTACACAGAAGTCTGTACGCACCGAGTGTATCCAATCGAATTCGTTAAAAGATTGAGAAAGATGGATCTCGCATCAGCTGTCACGTCCCTTTTGTCGGGAACAAACAGATTGTTTGCATATCGCCGGTGGTGTCTCACGGAATGTAAACTCGCTTGCGATCGTACTGGTTTTAATGCGTCAAATCGCTCGTTCAACGTAAACACGCTCATTCAGCGCGAGCGTACGCTGACTCACAATCAGTGGAAATAAACAACGGAAGGAGAAAAAAATAACATTACCTGTGCGACAAACGTCAAGGTTGCAAACCCAAATATTTCCTAAACGAAAGCCAAAGGATCTCGACCGAAGGCTCGAGAGTCTTTCAAGTGAGAAACTTGATAAAAGTTTCAAGAGATAATTCTTATTCTAATATACTTAATAAGCGTAATTTCACATAAACGTGTACTTAACAGCACATTCGAATTGATACGAATTTCTCGGTTTTTCTAATGACATCATACTTCCGAGTCTTATCAGGAAATGATTGCGATTCATTATTTGTGGAATTAATATTCAACGAGAGAATGACTTTAACTTTTTATCGACCAACGATCGACTTTCTGAAATACTTCCCGGAAATATTTCAACGTACAATTTAAATTAATAAAATTAGCGATGCACATTGAATTGTGATATTAACCGGCATAATTATCCTTTGATAATTTATACTTTGATTTAATTTATAACGTCAATGATAAGGAGTCACAATAATGTGTAATATTAGCTTTGCTTCCTATACGTCACGGACTCTTGCAGCAACATTGCTGCAACGTTTGTAACGTTATTGCAATATCATTGGAACGATTTGTGCTGTATGAGTTAATCAAACAATGATTGTTGTAAATTACTATTGTTGTTCGCTTATTAGTCTGGTAAATACTTTCCCGGGAACTGGAACTGTTGCAGTTCCGTCATTTAATTAGTTTTCGATGCCACGGACGCGCGAAAGTAGCGCGACGACGGTAGAGTCGTACTCGTAACTGTCATTTCACGCGGAAAAAAAATTTAACGAGCCGCGGAATAGGCGAAATGTACGAAAATATTACAGCGTGCTCTCTTAAACTTTTACTTAATCTCACTCTTCAGTGGCGTCTACCATGAGAGAGATTTAGGGCGTAAATTTGAAGCTTAAGCCGTAAGGAATTAACCAATTACAATTAACAATCTATTATTTTCCTCATAACTGTGATTAATTAATTCCTTAGAATTTCAGGCTCAGTCATTTTACGTCTTAAAATCTCATTGTAGACGCCACTTTAAAGACTGAAAATTGAGCCGGTGTTGAAAAAGAGTCAGGCTCAATTTTCAGTCTTTAAAGTGGCGTCCCATGAGATTTGAAGGCGTAAAACGACTAAGCCTGAAAGCCTAAGGAATTAATTAATCACAGTTGTGAGGAAAATAAATAGACTCTGTGATTGGTTACTTTAAAGGCTTGAGCTTCGCGCTTTTTCAAGACCTATTTAATGTTCATTCTTTAAAGTGAGATTCTACTCCAAAGAATTTAGAGAGTACGTCATGTAATATTACAGATTTTCCCAGTACTTTCGTATACGATATTTTTCGAAAATAAGGCTCGGATCAATCGTCGCGATCGGCAGATACATCGGAAGCGACGAAACAGACGTTCGCGATAATAGCGTCGATGCAAATAGGCAGCACTGCACTTTGCACTGGAGTCATGCGAGATCATACACGCGCGGTTAGACAACGACGACGACGACGTACACACAAGCACTTGGAGGAGGGGGAGGGGGGGGAGGGTGTCGCGCTGTTCGTCGTCGTTTTCCACCCCGCGAAACGCGAAGGCATCCCCCTCGGTAGTATTCCACGGTCGATAGCGCGTTTCCTGCGAGTCAGGGGGTAGGTTGCACACACTCGACTCTCTTTCGAGCATTTCTTTTTTTGTTTTTTTTTTCCCCCCCCTCATCGACGTACGGAGACAGAACTTTACCTTCGTGTTTTTATTTTCCTTCGTAATTGTCGCCGTGCGTCGTTCCTGAATCGGTGGGGTAGGTAGGTTGATTAAGACGATTGGACGTCCGCGAGAGCGACACCGCGATCGAGCTTAATCGCTACGATCGACTTCGGAGTCGTCTTCGTCTTCTTCTTCTTCTTCTTTCTCTTTTTCTTCTTCGCTCACTTCTCGTCGGCTGCGTCACGACGACGAAGACGCGACGCGTTGGTTCGCTGCTTTCGTTTCCGAAACGCGGCCGTTGATACTTGTCTCCGCGATGAGCTCTCGGGGACGAGACTTAAGAGAGAGACAGAGAGAGAGAAAGAGAGAGAGACAAAGAAAGAGAGAGCGTGCGCGAGAGACTCGTGGTATCCGCGCAACGGACGGTCCAACGTTTGGGCCGGCCCACCGCTCAGAAACGACGGCGGCAGCAGAAAAAGCGAACACGAACTAACGTCGCCATTGTACAGCTGACAACTGCGAGCTGATGGACGAGCGAACGCGAACGTAACTGTCCGGGACTCCGGGAGCGCAGCGGCACTTCGGCGATCTTCGGCCGCGCCGTAGCTGGACGGAAAGACGCGAACGCGCGCCTTCGGCTAACATCGGTCCTCCCGGCAGTTCCGGCGAGGCCGCGCATGGATCCTGTCTTTTCTGCAACCGTTTGTGTTTGTTCGATTTTACTTCACCCGGTATCAATATCCTGTATCGAACGGTATGTACACTAGATATATCGATATCGCGATTCTTTCTTCTAATTCGATTGAACGATATTGGATATCTGAATGCAAGTACAGTGCGTATGAAAGGTTTTACTGCACCTATCAAGGTGATTTTCCACTTTTTAAGTTTGTTTCAAAACTGAAGCGATTGAGAGCTAAATTCATGCGTTATTGATTTTTTTTTAGAAGTCACTCCAACACATGTCGTGACAGTCGTCCAACACATTAGACAATTAACGTGCTAATAATAATGTTTGTAATGAATTTGTGTAAGATACATTTTTAATATTTTAATGCACCAAGCTCTGTTCGCGTTGCATTAAATTCTCAAATATTTTTGCACTTAAAATGAGATAGATACATATTTTGCCTTAAAAAGAGAGAAAGCGAAGGTGTCGAGTGTCAAGAGTGCAAGCAACGCGAATAGATGGATCTCCTATAAGGCGATTTTGTTTTTTTATTTTTTATTTTTTTAAATTGAAGCAACTGAAGGTATTTAATACTTGCTAGAAGTATTAAAGCGCTCATAGTAACCTGTGTGTTTGCAATCAATTTAATCCGACAGATCTTAAGATGTGTTTATAAATTATTGAGTTAATAAAAGTAACACACGTGTGGAATGCCTGCATAACAATGTTCCCATTTCAAACTTGTCATCTTTTCGGAGGTCAATGAGATGATGGGATGCAGAAGTGTGTCTTGAATCGCCGGAAACGGGAACAGTGTTACATCACGCGTTGCGGCCACACGTATTACGATTGCGCACGCGGCTGATCGTTGTCGTAAGAACGGCTGGTTGAAATTGGGAAAGCCAATATTCGCAGAAGCGACAGATGCCTAATAATAACATCAAGGTACGTAAGAGATACGCGTATCTTATCTGTATCTTTCTTGTACAGAGGAAGCAAACACGCCGATCTACGCGAAAAGGATAAAGTATGATCAGAGGCATCCGGTCGCGAGAGACGCTACTGGTCGTCTCCTTCGACATGTGTAAATACAATACGTGGACTCTTCGAATCGCGACACGCGGTCGTATCAACCTTATCAACTGTTTTAACATATAAGGTACCTGAGCCGAATATGATCCATAATTTATTTCATAATTTATTTCATTTCATTTGTTTTTAATTCTATTTATGGGATTATTGAAATAAACTCTCTCTAAGTGAGAATCAAATCTTTATTTCATTCACTCACAAAAATAAAATATATTGTTTATATAGAATATTTGTAAATGAACGAAAAAAAATTTTTTTTAACTCTGACATTGAGTCTTATTACATGCATATGAATATAATAAAAAATAAATTAAAAATAACAAAGAAAATAATATCTTTCTCAATCAATTTTAAAATGATTATTAATCATAAAAAGAAAATTCCTTAAGACTACTCTACTTTCAACACAAACATTAAAGTTGTCTTAATCATTTATTAATTATTTATTATTATTAATTTATTATTATTATTTATTATTTATCTTAATTAATTATTTACTCTCAAATATTACAGTTATCTTTATCGAGATCGCAAATTATATTTATATAATTAGCAAGAATTTGGATTCGATTTATTTTGAATATCTATGCGGGATGATTTTTTAATGTGGAAAAATGGTAAGATTGAGAGAAGATCTTAAAAATTTACGTGCATCCTCCAAACAAGTGAGATCTCGCGAGAGACTCGTCCGGTGTAACGCGCCCTTGACCTACCTTAACGTTTCTCGTTGCGCGCGGGTGGCACGCTTTAAACAATTGCGCGTATAAGGGCATGCAATTTCACCCACGTATGACCGTGACGGGTCTCCCACACTGTAGAAAAAAAAGGATATAAAATCATACGAGCGACAAGTGTAAAAATCGCATGATTTACAGCGGAAATGCATGTACTTTTTTGTAAAGTAATTTTTGCACTTGTTGCTTACGTAATTCTATATGATTTCTTTCGCAATGAGACTTTAAAAATGTATTAACGGGAGAATATGACATCAGAAAAATGTTGGAAAATGATTTACAAACCATTACTTGGAAGATTTAAAAAATCATTTCAGGAGCGTAGATTTGTGGGTTTATATTTAAGATTCCAAATACGAGTTAACCGTTTTTACATAAAGCAATGTGTTATTTTATGTATTTTTTATATTCAACATAACAAAAGTATTCTGCAAAATGAATTATAAATGAAAAAAGAAACAATGTAATATTACAAAATACACTTTCATATTAATTATGTACGAATATTTGCCAGAGAAGTATAAAGCTTTTATAAAACATGATTAAAGTAATTGCAACACGGACATTACAACATGGTTTAAATTTTAAAAACTTTAGGATAATCAAATTCATTTTCTAAAATTGACAATTAGCTTTAAAATGTGTCTACAGGTACGCACTAAATTGTCGATTTGTGTATATTCTATAATATATATTTCGTACACACACACCGAAGCGTACACGCAAACTGACTCTTAAGTGTCGTGGACATGTATATAGCCGTACTCGCTTATATTTCGAAATGAAAGAGGGAGAGAGAGAGAGAGAGAAAGAGAGAGAAGCATCATTTATTAAACGCTCTGGGACAAGTCCCCTCAAGCGCAGAAACACCAGTACAAAGTAATCAAAGTGATCATGTAATAATAGAAGGAAACATTGTTTTTTTATACAAAACAATATTGAAAAAGAAATATTTATGTAGAAAGAAAATAAAAGTTGCACGTAGACAATTTAGAATTTCAAGCATGCTACAATTTTGCTAATGTGTAAGAGAGAGAGAGAGAGAGAGAGAGAGGGGGGAGGGGGGGGAGAAACGGAGCAGATAAGGCCACGATTGCGTGGCGCTTGGATCATGTTCGAGTCAGGCCAGGCCTTCGTTTCCAAACGTATCCCCTGCGTTCCGGCCGCCGCCGGATATTGGTCAATCCGGGGCCACCTTTTTTTTCATCTCGCACACCATTCTGCATACATGGGTGCCGCCGGCACAGCGAAGATCAGCTGGAACGCGCGCGAACGCGGAGCAAGCGCGATAAAGCACGAAGAAAGAGGATCACGGCCCGATCGATATGCTCCGTAAATTATATGCGCCGCGTGGCTTGTCGCAATACGACGGCCGTTTTACGAGAGGGACGGGATACGGAAAGTCCGCGTGATTCGCGCGCGCGTTATCGTCGCCGCCGTTATTGCCGTCGCGTTTCGACAACGCCGGACACCGTCGACATTATCGCAATATTTGTTTTTGCAATAATAATAACGGTACGATTAACAAAAGTGCATGAATAGTTTGAAAACGCTTGAAGAATATGGTAGCCTCGTCCAATCGAGATATTTCCGCTCTTATCCAGATCCACTTGGGGAAAATTTATATCGGGACATTTTTACTTTTGTCCTCAGCAATGTCTTTGCCATTTATTTGCAATTTTGCAATTCTCTAAAGGAGGAAGATGAGAATGGAAGATATTTCGTTATACGCAATCATGCACAATACATGATTATACACTAAATTGATTGCTTATACAATATTTCAGTTTTCTGCCTCAACTTTCCGAAGACATAAAAATTGCATATGTCAGGCCTTAACGTGATAGATATAAATATGTTTTATATTTTGTGAATCCATTGTGTGTTACGTTTAATTATTTATTCCTATTTTTTTTATTTTTCTGATGTTTAACATTTAGTTGTAATATTCCTTTCATAGTGCGCAGAGTCTCATTCTTTCATCATACACGTGACAATTGTTGATTACCAACCAATTATTGATTATGATTTTCAAAATCAAGATCAAATGGATAACATACGGTAGACTTCTTGAGATTAGAGTTGGATTTGAGATTAAGACACTATTAAATTTTGTAATCATAGTCAGTTCTCTTTAATTTAAACTTTTTGAAAGTGGCTAAAAAATATAAATATACAATGAAGGAATATATAGTCACAGCTAAAGATTTTTAGAGATAAAGATTTTTAGGTTTTTTTAGAGATAAAGTGATATATTTCGAATTAATACATTAACACATAATATTTGTATGTACAAAAACCTCTTTGGCTATATGTTCCTTTATTGTAAAGGGTGTTTTTTTAAGCCCGATAGAACTTGAAATTGTAAAAAATAAAACAAAAAATTAAATTAAACAGCCGCGGTGGCCATATGCCCGAAATCATTTTCAAATGTTAATGCCATGCATTGATCTTTCTAAAAAAAATTTTTTGATTATAATTTAATTTTTGTGTTAGTTTTTAGTACAATTTTAAGTTCTATCGGGCTTAAAAAAATCTATCGGGCTTAAAAAAATCCATCGGGCTTAAAAAAACACCCTTTATAGTTCTCTTTAATTAATCTTAAATTATCTAAATTAGATCATTGATTCAAATTTAGATAATTTGATTTGAAGTGACAAAAAGTAAATAATGATGTAGTTAAAGTAATGCCCAAAATAAATATTTGAGGAATCTGAGGAATTTCTTTTGTTTTCTTTAATAAGTGATGAAAATACTTCTACATGTAAAATAATGATTATCTTTATCCCGTGTTCAGAACAAAGCCGAAATTATCGTCGAGCAATAATTCACAGAATTCAGAACTGGTTCTGTTTTATCTTCAGGAGGAATGACGACACCACGATATCCTTTACCATGCGCATGGTGTCAGCATTTTTAATAAGATATTTAAATATTCCACGATCTTTCCATACTCGTTGTCATTTATGCGGATATTTCATCATGAAATTGATACGCGACTGACTCCAGTTGCGCCGTTGACGGCTTTTGATTAGCAGTTTATACTATCGGACGAAATTTATTCGAAAATAAAATTTGTTCTTGGTTACGTAATTAATGTATCTATTTCTGCGTATTTCGCGAGTTTGCGAATTAATTGCGCAACACAGTCTCGAAATGTTTTAAATTTGCGAAATATTTGCTTCTTCTTTAATAGGATTTTAATGCGTCGCTTCGTAACACTTTTTAATAATAGAAAATTATCAACTAACGAAGTTAATTGATAATTTTCTATTATTAATTAAGGGATAATTTTTTTAGAATAAATTTTAAGTTCAAATTCTGTTTAGAATGATATTAATGAACTAGTTGATTAATTAAATAGTTGATTAAAAGATAGCAAGATAGTAATTATTAACTGTGTTTTGGCGTGTCCAGACGATTTCCGGTATACTGTAGTTTCGCCTACTTAATATAGATCCTTAATTGATGATTGACTTGGGCGTGCGAACATATAAGATTTAACTTCAGACGATTCATTCCTTTATCAACTTTCTTTACGTCAAATTGTGTTCGTATATATTGAAAATCCATAAATAATAGGAATTATTTTATGATAAATTAATTTTAGGCATTAATATTAATATTCTTGCTTCATTTCTTCTCTCGACATCAAAGAATCTGGTTTTGAAATATAATATTACGTCTTTGCTTAAATTATGCAAATAGTTGCATCATCCAACGTACTGATAAAAATTTTCGGTAATAACTAAATGATGAGCTGACGGATGTCATCGCTATCATGCATGCAATACCTTGATTCTCGAACGATTCTATCAGTGGTTATTTACGTGTCGTGACTACGTATAAGTTAGTCATCGAGAAATATGCGGAATCCTGTTCACTGATTAGAAAACAATGGAAGAGATTAGTGAGGGAATACGAAGATCCCTTCGCCTATCTCGCACGTGCTGTGAACATTTTTTCTAATCAATTCAATATTTTCAATTCCTCCAAGTGACGGATTCATTGGGACATAATAGTTTAATAATTTTTTAAACAAGACTCGCAAAAAGCATAATTTTCAAGGAGAGAATGCGTTCCTTTCTATTTTACGCGAGATATATTTTCGGTAAGAAAAATTTAACTTTTTCAAATTAGTTATATAATAATCGACGATTAAAAAAAGCAATAGTTTTCGTAACTAATTTTAGCACTTTGGCAGATATATTTCAATATTATTTTCTGTCAGACTTTTTAAAACCTTGAAGTTTCAGATTTATTAAATATTCACACACACAATTCCTCTTGTTGTATATGATAAAAATTCGCGAATTTGAATAAAAAAATGGTT